ACCTTTTCAAGAACTGACTGCCATTCAGTTACATGACTATCAAATTTAAATTCAGGTTTACCATTAGCATCAAGAAAGGTACTAAATCTGTCTTTGATTAATTCTTCAGTCATCAAGTTCTCAAGTTTGATTCTGCTGACTGATATGTAGTTGTCTAAATAGTAATAGATTTACATTTTGTGTAATAAAATGAGGAAGTCTTTATAAATCAAACTGAGAGCTGGTATTTGATATCGATTGAGAATTAAAAAAAAATAATTGAAACCAACACAATTGTATAGTGAAACATGGACAAAAAACACTTCGTACTTATACTGTACTCGATTTTGAGAGATTACTACATTTGATTGGTGGACACAATTACATATAGTAAATTAAGAAACTGTGAATAATAACAACTTTATTATGTGTAAATTATTAATTGTGATTGACTTAATCTATTCGTTTGGTAGCGCGAAATTTCTGATTTCAATGAACGCAGAACTGATAACGCCTTCTTATTGAAGACGAAGCCACTGGGCGGATCATTGACAAATCGCATTAGATTGTCCACACTTGCTAAAGCTGTTTTTAATGAAATTATATGCTGTGGTTCATATTTCTTATCACTTTTTCTTTGTCTTCCTCTTCTTCGACGTTCTGTGCGGTTGCAATAATATCATCATCGGTAAAACGTTCGATAGGCAATTGCTCATCAATACAAATATATTCAGTGGCCAACGGTGGCTCAATTATCCCTAGCTGAGTAATACAATGCTGTATGTCTTCAATCGTGTTATCCGTACTGGTATCAACACTATGGGGTACAAGAGGCGTATCTATGTGAGCTAAAAGAGGCTGAATGAACTAATTATTATTATTATTATATGGAGACAAAGTGAATATTCGATCATGTGAGCAAAGGTGTGCAACATTTTCATGACAATCAAGGTGGCTTAAACGTGTGACAGATGACGTATCCGACTTGATGGATTCAAGAATAGCGATAGTGTTCGATAACACACACTTTTCACACAAAAATGCCACGCTCAAATGCTGATAAACAGCTAGGTGGATATATTTAGCATTTTTCCTTCCCTTGTAGGAAGCACCTATTTTACATTTACTATTTTTGAAACCGTAGAACTCTTGGACTATTTTGTTCAAACCAGTTCCGATCAATGGAGCGAACTCAGCTTCCTGTCGTGGCTAGACGAAAATGGGAAAGAGCTACTCAAAGGAAACAGATTCATTCAAGATAGATGGACCAGATGGCACAAGCGTTTTCTTTCCACGCTGGACCTTTTTATAGCCCGATGCAAGGGGCTTATAGACGAGGCTGGTGGAAAAGACTCTACATCCTTCAAGTCTGAGATGAAGTCAGCTGTTAATCTCAAAAAACGTGGGGTAAATGTATTTGTGTCATGGAAGCTGCAGCCGACCACACCGCTATGGCAGGTCGGGCTCGGGGCAATCTCTTTAGCAAGGTGCTTTAGGGATATGGCATCTCCGTGGTGGAGCGCCGTCTTGGGCATGTAGCTGAGGTTGTAACCGACCACACCGCTATGGCAGGTCGGGCTCGGGGCAATCTCTTTAGCAATGTGCTTTAGGGATATGGCATCTCCGTGGTGGAGCGCCGTCTTGGGCATACAACCGCTTGCACACTCAAAATGATGTCTTTAGAAGTAACATTTGAGGATATGGAACTGAACATATTTCTCTTTAACATTTTCAATTTTCAGAAAAAGGTCCCGAAAGCAGTTCGCGATTGGTGGCGGACCTTACAATCGCAGAAACACGAGCGATCTCTAAAGCAACAAGAGATGCAAGTTATGATGGAAGACTCTTTGGCGCAGGTAAGTTGAAACATGATATGAAGGTGAGAGCTTAAGAACATCGAACAATTCGCTCAAAATGAAAATTATTTGGAACAGGTCAAATGGACTGCTGTTCGCAATGAAAAAACACGAAAGAGATTTTCGGAGGTGGACGATAGTAACTTTCGTCCAAAGCGACAAAAGCAAAGCGAAAACCGAAACAAAGAATCAGATCCAAGTGGATCTGGGGTTTGTTACACCTCTCGCTGTCATTGCAAAGTTGCTACCAATTGCCAACGAAACTGAGATTCCCCAATCTCTTTTTTGTTTGTTTAGGGCTCAATCACTTTCGATGACAAGGTTGACGGGACAGAGAGGTCACTAGAATCAGAGTCGGAATCCGAAGTATCCGAGTTAGAACATTCCGAAGGGTCCGAATTAGAACATTCCGAAGGGTCCGAATTAGAACAGTCAATAGAAGTTGATATTACTAATATATCCAGGCAATTGGAAAGAGATCTCGTAGCAGAGGTAGTTAGCATGGAAATCTTCGATTATTCGGTTCGTTATAATTAACTTCGTTGTTTAGTGGGTAGTCGGTGATATCAATGTTAGTGGAAAATTTCGTCAATATCAACGCCACGTTATCGATAAGGTGAGGACTAACGGGTTAACGTGGAATGACACGTACGAGATCCTGTAAGTATTGTGAGACATTAAGAGTTCAACAGTAAAACTCTCTTCTCTGATCCATAGTTATCTACTTCAGAGCGTTAGCATCTATCATGATACTCTCGGAATCGTGTCCATATCCTGGATTTTTTACGTCACGAGAATGGAAAGCAATAATTCAAACCAACCCCTATAAGGTCCAGCGACCAATAGTTCCATCTTCGATTTCAAGTGCTCTGCAAGATGCAGCAAGAAAGCATATCTTCGGCGAGGACAGTTACCTTGATGCTGAAAAGTCGGAGTTGAGCAGAGCTGCTGCCTGCATATTTAACAGTCTGTAAGTTTAATTTGGTTTATTTGGAGAGGTTGAAAGAAAAAAATAGTGTAAGTGTTGTTTAATTCTCAGTGTTTGTTAGACGAAATCTTCCTGCGTGCTCTCCCACAAAGTTATCGGAAGACCTGCACTGTTGCAGGCTTTTGCATCCATATGTGCGCTCTTTATTCTTTGGCCCTTCGAAGGAGTACGAAGTCCGACTCAATCAGAAAGTGAACAATACACAGCAACGTCCAGACTTCTCTTGTGTAGTTGATGATGTTCCTCTCTTGGTGTCAGAGTTTAAACCTCTTGGGTATACTCCTCTTCAAAAGAAGAAAGATTTCACCAAGGTCCACCTGCGTGCCAAAAAATGCATTACTGACCAGCTTTCTGCAAAGGGTGGGCCAGCCAAAACCATCCTTCTAACAGATATGGGTGCATATACAATCTTTTTGTAGTTTCTTTTTTTTTTTTGATTGAATGTCTTCATTAATCTAAATTGATGCATTTAGGTGATGTAGTTGACTCATCTTTTGTAGATTTGAAGTTTTATGGCATATACCGAGCATGGCCATTTCTCTCTACAAGGTTGGCAATAGACAAGATGTCTCTACCTTTGGTTGAGTCAACTTTTTGTCATTTCGTGGCATTAGAAGTATGTATCTTTGCTGTCATCAATATGGATTATTCCACTGTGAAACTCATGACAAAACCTTACCATTCATAGAAATGTCTTTGTGACATTTCAAAGGACTTCAGGTCTCGCAGCAACCTGTTCACACCACCCCAATTAATGCAGTTTATCCGTGAAATGCCCGATTCACCTCAAGTCCGGCAGTTGCTCAATTAGTATCTACAAATTGTATATGACAGTATTAGTATGTAAAGAGATGTTGGTGCCACATAATGGTCCAGCAAGTGCCACAGAATGTTATGGGCATCATTCAAGTCTTTTTTCTTTTTTGAGACATACAATACCAGTTGCATTATTTGGAAGTTAATAAAATATTATAAGCTTCTTTTACTGCTTTCACTTTTTTGTGGTATTTTACTAATACTGTAATAATAATAATACTGGGTATACAAATCAAGCATGCACATTCTTTAACTACATTAGTGGGGTAATCAACTTTGCACACATGTGCATTATTCTTTTTTTTTTTGTGATGTTCAGTGGTTCTTTTTATATTTATGCACATAAAGAAAACCACCAAGTGATAAAAATTAATATATAGGGTCATATATATATGAAAAATAGTAAAAAGAGTGGTTCTACAGAGTATGCAAAAGCAATTAGTTTCTTGGAAAGAGGTTGTCATTGTGGTTGCTCAAAAAAGATTCCGAGAGAAAGGTTTGCCGAATTACGTGAGGCGTTTCAAGCTCTCTCTAGATCTGAACAAGATATATTTTTAATGGCCCAGTTGAAAGCAATGAATGGCGGAGAAATAACTGCCAGCCGACGTCTTAAAAAGAAAACGCGTACTAATAAGCGAACCTTTTATTATTGAGATTGCAATACACCACTTTGTCAGAAAACGTATCTTAATATGTTAGGAATTGGTCGAAAACATTTGGCGACGAATGATATAATACCGCGTGTTCATGGTAATGTAAAACAAGTGCCGCGATGGGAAACCAAAATAATCATTGATATAAACGTTGCTACTGCCGTGAAGAATTTTCTCGAAAAATCCATGGACTACCAAGTCCTGGTAGGAATGTCAATCGCATTACTCAATCGCTTACACTTTTGCCAGTCGAAACGAGTTACAGATCGATCTATCGTGACTTTATTGCCGGTTTTGAGAACGATGGCACGTTGAAATTGTTAAATTATGTGACGCATTTCGCAAGTTATGACACCGATTAACGCCTTATATTCAAATTATGAGTCAAAGAACGGATTTATGTGGCACGTGCCAACATTTTCGGAACGGCAATGCTCGTAAGGAAGAAAAAGCAGGAGATTTACTAAAAAGGTACAAAGAACGTTTAGTCAAAGCTAAATTGGAGAGAAACTATTATAGCAAAAACACGAAATTTGCAAAACAACAGAGAAAATTGGTAGACGAGCATTTTATAGCAAGAGGTAAAGCTGATTATTGCAGCATGGACGCGACTGTTCATTACAGTTATGACTGGGCACAAAACGTTTACGTGCCCCATTCCGATCAACAAGTAAGTAAGATTTATTATCTCAGCCCGCGTAAAGTATATTTATTTGGTATTCAAGATGAAGCGGTACGCAAACAAATTAATTACGTTCTCGATGAAGGCGAAATTATCGGTAAAGGCCCTAATGGCACACTGAGCATGGTATTCGATGGAATTAAGAGATTAAGTAAAGGCGAAAAGCATTTAAAGATCACTTGCGATAACGCGGGAGGACAGAATGAAAATAATGCTACTATTTGTATTTGGTAATTTGTGGTTATTATGAAAGTATCGAATTAAATTTCATGGTACCAGGACATACTAAATTTAATGTAATGGTAGTTTTGGATTAATCAAAAACTATACCAAAAACGACAGTTCATATTGTTGAAGTTGTGAAGAATCTAGTACAGCAGGATTAAACAAAGCTCAGCGTTATGACAAGGGAAAAGGTTTTCAATACTTAGATCTTAATTCTGTATTGGGATTTTCTTTAAAAAATTAAATGGTTTGCATTTTCTATTTGAAGCAGCTAATCCTGGGGGTTTCAAAGCTCAGCTGGTTGTTAATGGTTTGTATTAGTATACTGAATTTAATTTGTTAAAAACTAGAAAGGCAAGTGTTTCCAAAATTACTAATTTTTTTTTCTATTTTAATGATGATTATGCTGACATAGCTTATATTTGTGCTGATTGTAAAAAGGACTTTGAAAATAATATCCTTCCTTACTGTAAACTTTGTGGTAGATTAAAGAGAAATAGGAAAGGTTGCTTTTGTAATCTGTTAGAGAATAAACCAATACAATCACTTTCTACGGAAGAAATAACATCCAGAACTTTTGGTTATCGTTTGGAAAAGAAAACTATAGAACTAGAAAAAGAATTATCCACCACCAAAGAAGAATTAAATGTTGAAAGAGAAGAAGTAGTTAAATTTTATGAGAAATCCAAAAAATGAGGTGATGAGAAAATAAAGTGGATTAAAGAATTAGAAGCAGAGAATGCTAAGTTAAAAGAAGAAAATAAACAATTAAAAGAACAACAAATAGTCAAGTTGTTCAAATTGAAGTTAAGGAACCTAAGAGATGAAGTTGGTTGAAAGTTAAGAAGTAAGTTAAATTTCATAAGTAATTTT